TAGCGAGGAAATTTCACGACTGGACTTGTTGCACAGGTGGCATCTTATCATGGTACCACGCTGGAATTCACTGAGCTCCTAAGAGCGACCCATTCTTTAACTAATGTTTGTAGAAGCAGTCTGCATGCCTAGGGGCTTGGTTTTATACACCTGTGGCCATGGAAGTGATTGGAACACCTGAATTCAATGATTTAGATGGGTGAGTGAATACTTTTGGCAATATAGTATTTGTTAATATGTCTGCTGCGAGCTTTGAATAAAACAAGGTCTTTATCATAAAGTTGTTTTTGACTGAATTTGATATCTATGGCCTGAGCCACTGCTAAGAAGTATTTAAATCTTTTTTTCCATCAATAAGCTTGGTTGGTTAAAACAATTTGTTCAGTAATGTCAATATCAACGCATGTGTGTGTGTTTGTTTATTTATTTGTGTGTGCTCTTCTTTATTTATAATTATGACCCCAATAATGATGACATCACATTTTAGGGCCCATAGAGAAATACAGATAAGTGTTCACATACTTTATCTCACAACTGTAAACAGCAAAGCTGTGGTAAGTTAATGTGATCTACAGAGTTTGATAAAAAAAAAGCACTTCTACTGCATAATTTACCTAAATATAAGGAGATACACTATACACATATACACATACACTATGTTATTTCTATCTCTAAGACTCATGAATGAAAAAAAAAATATATATTGTTTATTATTTCTCCTGTCAGATCATTTGACCTACATTCCTGATCAAAAAACCTGGATTGAAGCACTACAACACTGTCGGGATCGTCGCAAGAATTTAGTGCACATCATAAACTCTACAGTGCAGGAATTCGTCACACAGATGCTGCAGAATGATATCTATCCAAATGGCGTGTGGATTGGGCTTGAGAGGAACATGCTCTTCCCGTGTGCCCCATGGATGTGGACTGGTGGACCCTACGTGAACTATTCTGAATGGCATTCTAGCTTTCCAGTGGACCCCACCAGTCAATACTGTGGCAAACTGGTTAACAATGGAAGCAAATGGCTGGATTCTTATTGCAGTGAGGAGCTCCCTTTCATCTGTCAGGTCAGTTTGAGCTTAAACAGCTCTCTCTTTAATAAAAGACCGTTGTTGTTCAGTCACATGACTAATGATTTATTTACATGACAGCAGTCTGTGATGTACAGTGTTCATAATGAAAATCACTCTTTATTGTTTCTAACAGGATTAGACCACTAGGAGGAGCTACTTCACAGGAAAAAGGTCTTTAGTGAAACATTGAATTAATGTTGGAGCTTCATATTAAAGTGATCAAGAATCCAGCTGGAGTGCAGAAGTAGCTCTGCTGTCTGACAAACAGCTGTTATGAAATGTTTATTACACGCAATTACATCTTTATGTCCAATCTGCAGAAATCTAATACAGCTACAGACAGACTTTCACTTAAATATTCAGTCACTGAACATTTCTACAGAAATACAACACTAAACATTAATTAATCACTGATTGCTCAGTTTCCTATCAATTCATATCTTTCAGCTACTTTTTAAAGTTATAAACCTCTTTATTATTTAAGTTTGCAAAGTGGACATTGTTTTCTTTTTTAACATGTTTTATTCAAATAATTATTCAATAATTCTTTAAATATATACTTTCAGGTTAAACTGTTTATTGTTATTTAATGTATTTTTTTGTCTGCTATTGTACCTAAATCGCAGACAGGGCTACTCAGCGTTAAATGCAGACAATTACCCAAATATCATGTCTTCACAGTGAAACACGACAGTGGATACAGTGATTTTACAAACAGTCCACATTATACAAGAATATTCACAATTAGAAGAGATTCACAATTATGTTCAATTTCCAAATAGCTGAAACTTTTCCTTAAAGTTTAAAGAATCTATATGAATTTACTTTGTGTAATACTCTGGAAGGAATTCTAGTGAAATCTGATTGCTGTATTGATTAACATAATTAATGAACTGATTCTTTTAAATCACTCCTCTATTAAGTCATTTGGTATGTAGCTAGTTAAGATGAAGTAGTTAAGACAACAGCACATAAGCAATACACTGTCCAAATGCTCTGTGTCCAGCTATGGCATGAAAACCAGGTTAAAACCTTCTTTCTGCATATCTCAAAACACCACCGTGGTGAAAAAAAAAAAGACAAGATTACAATCAGATTAACAAGAACACAGGTTGACATAAACCCAACCACCAATGCAACACTTCCTTATAAAGTATGCATCCACTCTTCACAAACACATTTACCCCAGTACAGATGACATCAATTCAGATCAGACCGCTGAGAGATGTACCTACTAAAAGTTGAAGAAAACAGCATCAGCAAACTGAGAAACTCAAACCGTCAACCATCCTAAGTTGCAGCATAGCCACAGTGGAAGCAGAAAATGTTTGTTTTTTCTTTTTTATATCTGACCCTTTGAAGTAAACAGTTTGCAGATCACTGCCAACAAAAACACAGCAACATCTGACATTTTATTTGTGTTTCACTTTGGAAATTAACATCCTATACTCTGTGTAATTATCAGCTCTCTTTTATAGATTCTCCAGGCACATCTGGATATCTAGAGCTTCAAATGCAAAGTGCATTGACTGGAACGCTAGTTCAATGTAAGAAAAAAACCCTGAATCTTTCTGTCTTGAGGGAACGTTTTATGCTACACTTACAACTATACAAATTGTTTATTAATTGAAAGTACAGTAACTTTTTCCTGGGCTTATAAGAATTCTCAGGTGTTCCCAATCCCAATCCTGGGGACTCCACACTACGTACAAGTCCTATTTTTTCCTCAACTAGTTTACCTGATTAAACTCCTTTGCTAATTTACAAGCTCCTTCTGTGCTGGCTGAGGTGTGTCAGAGTCAGGAAAATACAACACTGTGCAGAGTCAATTCTCAATTCATGAGTACTGATTATTCATCATGAGTTTCTAATGTTTGTGCCTCCTGAAAAAAAGTGATGAGCCCTTTATTACACTTTATTACTGATTAAATACAGATTAATTATGAGTTCATAATGTTTTTGCCCCCTAAAGTAAAGCATTTGATTATTCTGACTTTATTACTGATGAACTGCCAACAAATTAGTTCCTTTGCCCTCATAGCAACATAAACAAATGATGAATACAGTGTGGATCAAATAAAAACTGGACATTGACAAAATTCATAGGAATTTAAAGAAAAATCATCAACTAATGACTTTGACACAATATATAGAACCCAGGTAGGTGAATATGTGTGTAGCAGACTAAAAATGAAGAGGAGCCAGTGCAACACATGCTGGTGCTACTGTTCTACAAACATCTGTAAAACTGCAATTTAACATCACATGTTGACTGACATAGTCCTGCTTTATTCATGATTTACACTTTACTTTGCCTGAACATTAACTGCATTATACATTTCAGAAAATCAACAATAACTTTGTTGTATAGTTAATATAATTTAACCTAAATACCATGTAGCCTATTTTAGTCTGTCCAGGGGTGGTGAACTCCAGTGCAGTGCAGTCTGGTGATTTTCTTGCTCAAATACACTTAATTCATCTCAGCAGTTAATTGGAGGTTAGTTGGTGTGTCAAGAGCAGTAAAATCTTCAGACTGTGCTGGATACAGAGCCTCCAGGATCACAGTTTGTTTCCCCTAGAGGGTCCAAAAGCCACTCTTAAGCTACGATACTGTCTGAAACCAGAGATGTTGAAACCTACTCTATTAAAAATAAGGGGAGCATTAATGGTTCTTTGAGCAATGTCATAGAAGAACCATTTGTAGCTCCTGGTCTGATGAAGTTTAAGGTTGTGTTTTATTGATTCAGTAATAAGTTGATTTATTGATAAATGGGTATTAATCAGGGTTTTTGTAAATGATTAACTTTAAAGATTAATGCAATTGATTGGATCAGGAGTGATGGATTTGGGCTGGAGCTCTGTACTACTTCACTAGTAGCGTAATACCCATGATAAACTATGTGGCCAAAATCTATATACCTTGTAACTGGCTCCATCAGGGACATGGTGTAAGTTACTAAATCTAAAACCCATAAAGCCCAACAGTGTTCTCTGTGAAGTGTCTCAGTGAGTGTCTGGAGGATGTTAAAAGCCGGACAGCCAACAATTTTCTACAACTGATTTTCTTATTATGAATTAGATGTCAGAGCAGTACAGGACAGTTCAATATTAATAGGACTCAAGTTCAAGGCCTCAGTGGATCATGTGTCATTTGTGTCTGCAGCGCTCTGCGCAGTTTACTGTTCAGTTCAGTCCACACTTTGAATTTCCACAGAAAGGTAGCTGCTTTGCATTTCATTTCCTTCACTCATAAAGTGTGGTTCTTATCCATATTTGCATAATTCTGTTCCTATTTATATGGAAAAATAGTTTCAACAAATATCATTGGCCTATATTAATACTGACAGCCTACAAGAAAGTGTGGAAGTGTTACACAAACTTGTATATCGTTGCTGTTGGAACAAAACATATCTCCAAGATGGTAACTTTACAGTAGAAGGAAAATCATTCTTTACTTATAAAGCAAGGTAATGGAATAAGAATTTTTAGACCAAGTACTTTCGAAGCATTTCTATTAGTCCATTCATCACAAAATTCTAACACAATGCTAGTAACTGGAGTTTTTAAATTGTCCAAAAAAAATGTAATAATTGACAAAAATGGAGGTACAAGATTTTTGCGCAACAGGCACAATATTAATCTTTCAAGTGTTCGAGAAAAAAAATGTAGGTTTTTGTTCATGAAATAGCAGTGCAATAACACCTCCTCCTTTGCTTTCTAATTTATTCTGTGTTTCACTGATCTGCTACAGTATTTCCAGTATTTTGGCATTGCCTTTGTCTCATAGAACAATAAGCTGAATAAACAAGGTGGGGTTTTTTCCTCAAATAATGATTTGCATAGTATTGTCTCTGTGTACAGTGAAAAGGAGGGGCAGATGGTTTGCATCCTTATAACTGTGTTCAGGGTGTAGTTTAATGAGAGTTAACATCACAAGGAGAAGAATATTATCATTGAAAGAATTCTGGAGATTCAAAAGTTCCTGTACACAAGAGGAGCGAATCACCGCAGAGATGATGTCAGGTAAGACAGTTTCAGACTGAAAATATCTGAACAATGAATTAGTCAAATGGGAGTCTAGTGACAGAGAAGCTTCCATTAGTTATAGAATGTCTTGTCTTATTTTATTTAAGGATTGAGAGAAAAAGAAAATAATTGCTAAATAATTAAGGGCTGCTTTTGTAACACATTTGAAAGTGTTTCTGAGGCACAAAGACAGAAGACAAAACAATGAATGAAAATAGAACCATTATGAAAAAATAAAATGTCAAATTTGCAGCAGCCCAGATTGAACTCAAGTTTCCTGATCACATTTTCTAGATGTAGCATGTAAAGTGAGAAAAGCAGCGGTCCTAAAATGGAACCTTGTGGAGCTCCGAATGGTTCCGACTACCCTCTACCCTCAGTTTACAGGACTGTTGCTGACAGGTTTTGGTACTAGGCAGCACTGCAACATAACTGAGATTATGTTCTGTAGATGAACTGACATCTACCGTATTAGCCGTACCACTACACAATATAACATTTGTTCAGATAGGTTCTTCTTCACACGTTTTTATACTTAGCATTCATAGTAGGTTGTGGAATGGAAGCTTTTGCCACTCCTATGTATTTCTGCAAAGTTGGATGCTTAGCTCATTCCCACAGTTTGCATAACCAGCTCTACATAAGATTTCAGACTTTCACTACACTGATCTCACTTTTTTTTGCCACTAGCTGATGTTAGGCCTGGTGTTTCTTACCTAAAACATGTAACACATTGGCTAAATGCTTTGACTGATTCACACCACACTTTGTACACAGACTTATTTTTGAACTGATCTTACCATCACATAGCCCACTTCATAATGTAGCTCACAGAGCAGAACTGCTGAAGGATTCACATTGACTGTGCACATTCACTCACTTGTTTGCTGAGCAAAATTAACCCGTCACACTAATATTACTAATTATTAAATACAGTATCATTATACTCTTGTAACTATTTGATAACAACCCTGAAGGCAGATTTTCACCGTATGGCATAACTGATGCTTTATTGATGACGACTGACTGTCTCAATTTCCATAACTGGGCTAGGCATCTGGTTACCTGCAAACACTGTCCAATATTGTCTGCTGAAGGCATCCACCAGAGCTTACGTCTCTAATATTTATTGAAATCAACATTAGTGCTGTATTTTGTCTGTAAAGAATACTTCAGAGTTGATGCACTTCAGTGATAAACAAATTCACCAGTAGCTGGAAATAACTTTTAGAAAGATTAAAAAAAAAATCTTATTATGAATGAAAAAAAATATTTATTGTGTTAATATGTTATTAATATGTAACTTTGACATCACTAATCTAAATATAAAATTACTACTTTTATTTCTGTGATTCACTAAAAACATTAACATAAAACATAAAATATATATAAAACTGAATTATACAAAATCAATACAAGATCAGGAAACATGCAAACACTAAAACGTTAAACAGTTTGTCAGGAATTAACAAATAACCTGCTAATTATTTAATATCTGTTAATAATATTTCAGTTTTGTGTGATGTATTTATTAGCAGAATTTGTCTGATTTGTAAGTGGCTGTCAGATGAAGGTAAACTATAAATGAGTTTTCTTTGTATTTTTTGTAGCCTTTATGTTTTGGCTGTTGTGCTTCATTGTATGTTTAGGTAAGTAAAGGCAAACACCAACACTCAAATCTGTCTTTACACAAAGCTGAGTATTTGAGATGTTGTCTTGGAAAGTTTGGAAAACAAACAGCTTCAGCAGAGTGTGTATTCTCGGATTGGCAGGGGAAGAATATGCTTAGATTAAAAAAACAGTGCTAGAGTCTACAATGATGAATATATTAGTGTTATAAAGCTTTTGGCAGAAAGAAAGAAAATGCAGTAATACACACACACACACACACACACATATAAAAAAAAATATATATATATATATATATATAGAGAGAGAGAGAGAGAGAGAGAGAGAGAGAGACAGAGGAAGGTAGAGGTCAGCACTACTGCGGACTCCCGTGGGACCCGACACAATATCTTGTGGTATTTTCAGTGTAGCTCGTGGGAGCAGGCGGAAGTTAGATCCCTTCAGGCGGGAGCGAGTGGAAGCACGCATGTAGAGAAATCCAAGGCAGATATTTATATGAAGTGTTTTTGAGCTTTGAACAGTTGTAAAAAATTATATGAGTTGAAAAAGAAAAGTTGAACAGCTGTTCTGTCATGAAGTTTTTTTAGCCATTTTTTACAGTGTATACAATCAAATACAATTAATGCAACCAACCTTTCATAAGTAAAAATCCTTTTTACTGCAACCACCATACTGAGTGCAGTTATTTTTTTCCTTTTTATCAGCCTAAAATAAGGTGCTTGTTCCTCATAATGTGAATACAAACAAACAAAAAATAAATACATTAATTAATTAATTAATTAATTAATAAATAAATAAATAATATGTGATTTTGTAGCTTCCTTGTTTTTCTGAGTGTTGAAGTCAGAAAATGCACATTTCATGTTTGAGAGGCTGCATTAAGTTCCATTACACACAGATTCTGATTCTCTATTCAACAGGTGAAGCCCCCCCAGACACAAATCAAACTCCAGGTAAATTATGTCTTTAATAGTTCAGATTTGTTTATATTTTGTTTTTGTTTCTGATCATTTATTTTTATTCTGTAACAGAAACGACAGTAACACATCACAAACCATCACAACAGAATCACATTTAACCCACTCTGTTTAGTTCAGTTAACTCAGAATAATTTACTGATTAATTATTACATTTGCTACAGATCTGACTGTGTAGTAGAAAAACAAACCTGATTAGAGATTTTTACTCTGCTGTGTAAATTCAGTTTCACAGCACTGTCATTTATTGGTGTAACAAAAGAACATCAAACAAAATCCATCATTTAATGCATCATTCAGTTACATGAGCACATATTTACAAAATCCTACTGAGAATATGCATAAATTATTGCTCATAAGGTTCTTTTAAGCAGAAAAGGCTCAGTAGTGAATTAATACCCCGTTCTCACTTAATGAAACCAATATATTTGTAAATATACTATTTTCTGAACATTATTTGCTAAAAAATTGGCCAAATGTCATGTTATGTGTCTCATATATTGAATTTAAGTCTCTGTCCTCTGCTTGTTTGTTTTTTTGTTTGGTAGTGTTCTAACCTCAGTCATTAAGTTAACACAATATAAAAATAAGATTCATGAATTTCACAGCAATGCCAGCTTTCAGATTCTTGTAGAGAGCAGTTAATGTTATCTAGCACTGAATATGAGTTGAACTTTGACTAAAGCCTAATATGATATATGTGTTGTGAGGATATTGTACATTGTACACTGATTTTGGGTCTCTGTTCAACAGCTGAAGATCCCTCCACCAAGAACCAGCCTCCAGGTAAATTAGCACTTTATCTCAGCTTCTTTTTTCTGATCCTTTATGTTTATTCTGTAAAAGATATGATTGCAAATCACAGCAGGTGAAAATTTTATGGAAGAAAACTTTTTCAACTTTCCTTTATTGCAGTGTCACATGTGTGAACCCTATAAAAAAAAATACCATATTAATTGTTTTATTATCTGCTGTGTTATTTGTGTTATTGTTGTAAAGTTATTCATTAACAGATTTGTGGTATTTACGGTTCAGAACCTGACTTTGTGCTGCCAATTTGGTTACTAAATAATTCCAGCTTCACAACTGATTCATTTAACACACTATTTCTCTTAAAAGACAAAAGGCTATGACATTAAAACTCCATAAAATAAACAGAGGTAGAAATTGCATGTATTGAGGTGCTGAACCACTGATGGTGTCAGTAACTTCATTTTTTCTTCTTTATGAATGTGTACTCTTGTGTAATTTTGGTGATGTTCAATTAACAGTCCATTATAGTCACTACACAAACATTATAGCCACTACATATACATTACAGTAACTACATGTACTTGAAGCGTTCATGTCATTTTTAATGAACAGTACAGTAACACTATTATAGTTACATAACAATTTGAAGCATTCATTAAATATGTTCAGTTAAAACCTAATGTATCTGATCATAAATTCATTTAAATCTATTCAGAGAATAAAAACCAATACTAAACGCACAATAAACATACTCAATAGACGTTCACTATACTTTCATGATTGTGCAAAGTGTTTAAAATGATCTGCTTATGAAATATTAGTGAACAGTGTCTTTAACCTTGTGTTTCCACAGTGACTCCCAACTTTACTACACAGTCCACAAGTTCCAGTAAGACCACCACAGTTACAAAACCCACCAGTTCAGCCTCCAGTGAAACTGCTCTTTCTATCACACCTTCATGTGAGTCAGTGCTGAAGTACTGAAAGAAAAATCAGAGTCTTTCTGCACTATTTAATAATCATGATTGTGATCTGAATGTGATGTGATACAGTAATAATGGTAACACTTTACAATACTGGTCCACAAATAAACATGTATTAACACTTAACTAGTGATTTCATCACAGTCAATTCATTCATGAACTAATATTTAACACATCAGGAAATAATATACATTAATAAAGAACTGAATTAAATATGAATAACCATTAATAAAGGCAATTATTAATTATTAACATAATTCTAACTCAGTCTTTTAATTAATACATTCATGAATGTGTACTCTGTAATTATAGTGATGTTCAATTAAATAAAGAGTAACACATTATAGTAACTAGATTCATTACAGTAACTACATGTATATGAATCATTCATGTAATTTTCATGAACAGTGCAGTAAGACTTTATTACAGTTCCATAATCATTTTTTTCAGAACCATTAGTCTACTGTGTTTTGCACACAGAGGAATTAGACCTCCACATTTAACCCATCCGTGCAGTGAAACACCCACATACATGCACACTAGTGAACACACACACAAGGGGGCAGTGAGCAAACTTGCCCGGAGTGGTGGGCAGCCCTATCTAAAGTGCCCAGGGAGAAATTGGGGATTAGGTGCCTTGCTCAAGGGCACTTTAGTCACGTACTGTCAGCTGAGGGGATCGAACCGGCAACCGTCCGGTCACAAGGCTGGTTCCCTAACCTCCAGCCCATGACCGCATTTTGAAGCATTCTTTAAATATGTTCATTCAAAACTTAATGAAATGATCATAAATTTATTTAAAGCTATTCAGAAAATAAAAACCAATACTAAATGCACAATATACATACTCAATAGACATTCAAACTACACTCATGATTGTACAAAGTGTTTAAATTGATCTGCTTATGAAATATTAGTGAACAGTGTCTCTAATCCTGTGTTTCCACAGTGACTCCCAACTTTACTACACAGTCCATCAGTTCCAGCGAGACCGCCACAGTGACAGAGCCCACCAGTTCAGCCTCCAGTGGAACTACTCTCTCTAACACACTTTCATGTGAGTCAGTGCTGAAGTACTGAAAGAAAAATCAGACTCTTTCTGTATTTTTCATAATCAGGACTTGATCTGAATGATGTAACATGATACATAGTTTTATATTTTAATAGCCAGTTTTGTCTAGTTTCTAGTTGCATTCTATAGATTAATACAAAAGTAGAATTGTTTCTTTCTGTTGGAGGTTGAGTAAAAGAGAGAGAGAAGCCTTTGTGTGTTAATGCTGATGAAAAACTATAACAGTGATGGTGGTGAATAATGAGGAGACAGAGCTGAACGTTGGAATGTTTTAATAAGCGGAATAACGGTCATAAACGGTGGAATAAGTGTTTGGGAAACTGAAACCGGGGAGCAGCGACGCCCTGATAAACAGCCCAAAGTGCACAATATTCTTAACTTCAAGTTTATTTTGACCTTTTTTACGTTGGCAATGGCAGCTAACATGAGCTATCTGACTCTCTAATTTGATTGTTTGATTACGTGTTTGTTTCAGCTGTGCACGTAAGGTGGGTTGCTAGGAAACAGACATTACAGCTGATTGTCGACTTCGATCGAATAGGTTAAGATTTCCTAACTTGAGATAAGTTAAGATGCCATGAGATACGCTAACATTCCTAAATTAAGATAAGATTTTCTTCTGTAATACAAATTTGTGGAAAAAACTTGACTTGTCAGATCTTAAGTCAAAAAGATGAGAGGTTTCTGTAATACGGCCTCTTTTCACTTCTAAGATTTCAGTTATGCGAGGTCAGTTAATTAACCCTGTGTTGTAAGTGATTTGTGTCATCACTCTTAAGCGAACAATTCAAGTTGCTGCTCAGTTTGGGAGGGCACAACTAACATTCCAGGGGCTCTCTCCATCAGTAGTGATCCCAAAGATAAAGAATATGTTAAATTCTTATATTTAGTCAACAGTGGTATGTCCTTTATTCTTTTTTTTCTGAAACCTCAATGAAATGCTTTATAGCTGCTCATATTTATATATATACTTTAGTGATTTCCTTCAGATCCTGTCATCACATTTAACACTAGGCCAGCACTCTTACTTGGACCTTCTAATATACAGAGTTAGAGGCCTAACCTGTCAGGCCAACAATTAAAATAACAAAGAAGTGACAGGAATCAACCAATCAAGCTTTAAATTTATGTTTTATGTCCAAATTTAACTGTTTTTTACTTTATAAATGATAATAATTTCCCTTTTTTATACAAGTGCACTCATATTTTAAATAAGTCATACTCTAGTCCAGTTTTACCTTCTGATTCTACAGAAATGATTGAAATTACTCAGCAATAGTGTCTTTAATCTTGTGTTTCCACAGTGACTCCCCCCCTTACTACACAGTCCACCAGTTCCTGCGGGTGGAGTGACCAATCGTCCACCAGTCCACCAGTGATGAAGACCACCACAGTTATGCAACCCACCAGTTCAGCCTCTCGTGGAACTACTCTTTCTAATACTTCATGTGAGTCAGTGCTGAAGTACTGAAAGAGAAATCAGACACTCAAATAGGTGAGGCCAATTTAGTGAGAAAAAACATCACCCTCAGACTTCAGGACGTCCTACATAATTCACTGGCTGCGAGTGATAACCTAACCAATGCTTTTCAGTCAGTTGTATGGAAAGCAGTGATGGTAGCTCTATGCTGGGGCTCTTTACTGAGTCACTGTAAATTGCTACAAGGTAAAATATATGTTAGTATATCTTCTACAAGCCAAGCTTCACATATCTGTGTGTAATCTAGAACAGCCAAAAATATATTTATTAATGAAATTAGCATTATCATAAAGTTATTTTTTCTTGTTTTGATGTTTATGACCTGAGGTGAAAGCCTAGCTCCAATAGTCATTGTTAGCCACTACTTTAATAGGTCATTATTCTTTTGTTATTTTTCCATTAGTGACCTTGGTTGTTTAAACCATGTGTTCAACAATGACAATATCAATGTGTGTGTGTGTGTGTGGGGGGGGGGTGTGCATGCATGTGCTTGTGTGTATACATACAACTATAGCTCTGCTAAGGTGCAAAAGTACGGTATGGATGTTACACTTATATATAAAGTATGAAGTTACAGTTAGTGCTACAGTTAATACCACAGTTACAGTGCTACAATAACAGTAATCTGCAGATGAGACAGTTTGCAGTTGCACTAATATTGCACAGCAATAAATAATGTAGTGCAGTACTGCTGTAATATACAGTATTGTGCAGAAGAGCATTACTAGTGCAACATAAGCAGTAATAAAGTGCAATGCAGATGATACATAAATAAACAATAATGAATGAGTAATAGTTGAATTAGGCTTTAGACTGTACAGTCTGATGGCTGCAGGAAGAAATCACCTGCAAAAGCGTTCCTTCCTGCAGCGAGGCTGGAGCAGTCTGCTGCTCATTGTGCTCCTCTGTCCCTGCAGTGTGTTATAGAGTGGACGTGAGGGGTTCTTCATCATCACTGATACCTTTGCCAGCATCCTCTTCTCCACCACTGTCTCCACTGTGTCCATTTTAGGCTCCATGACTCAGCTGGCCTTTCTAATGATCTTGTTCAGTCTGTCAGTGTCCTTTGTTGTAATACTGCTGCCCCAGCACACAACAGCATAGAAAATGACACCACAGACTCATGGAAAGCTCTCAGCAGCTGGGCTCTCACATCAAGGGGGCTGGATGGTGTTGAAGACACTAGAATAGTCAAAGAATATGACCTCACAGTGCTCCCTGCCATCTCCAGGTGTGAGTAAGCTCTGTGCAACCAGTAGAAGGGTGAGACAGCAAGGGGTGATCATTGTTTCAGGGCTAGGGAGGACACAAAGGGAGTGTATGTTGCAGTGATGTCCCTAGTGATGGATTTGCAAATGGCCCAGTATCGAACCTATTGAAGAAAGTGTTCAGCTCATTTGCCCTCAGCTCTCCTCAGCCTGCTGATTGCAGGCAGTTTATAGCCTGACACTTTCCTTATTCAGTCCCATACCTCTTTCACCTCAGCCCTATAAAGATTGCTCTCCATTTTCCTGCTTAGAAGCCTTCTTGCAATCTCTAATTCTTACCTTCAGCTCCCTCTGTATACTCCTTATATCATACCTATCACCAGCCCTATACATCTTCTTCTTCTAGTTCTGCAGGGCCTTCAGGTCTCCACTGACCCAGGGTTTGTTGTTTGCATATGTAGAGGTTAATGTAAAATAAAGTTTTTAAAATTAGGTTCTTATTTCTCCTGTCAGATAATCTGACCTACATTGATGATCCAAAAACGTGGATTGCAGCACTACAATACTGTCAGAATCATCACAAGACTTTAGTGCACATTGTAAACTCCACAGTGCAGGAATTCGTCACACAGATGCTGCAGAATAAGATCTATCCAAATGGCGTGTGGATTGGGCTTGAGAGGAACATGCTGTTCATGTGTGCCCCATGGATGTGGACTGGTGGACCCTATGTGAACTATTCTGAATGGCATTCTAGCTTTCCAGTGGACCCCACCAGTCAATACTGTGGCAAACTGGTTAACAATGGAAGCAAATGGCTGGATGCTTGTTGCAGTGAGGAGCTCCCTTTCATCTGTCAGCTCAGTTTGAACACTTAAACACCTCTTTCTTTAGTAAATGATTGACCATTTTTGTATAACTTTTGCATGATTAGTGATTTATTTACATGACAGCAGTCTGTGATGTACAGTGTTCATACTGAAAATCACTCTTTATTGTTCCAAACAGGATTAGATCACTAGGAGGAGCTACTTCATGGGAAGTAGTAGCTCTGTAGTAGCTCTGCTACCTGTAGTAGCTCTGCTACCTGACCTAAACAGCTGTTATGAAGTGTTTATTACACACAATTTATTATACACTTGTTTTAACTTTTTTAATGTTTTTAATGTTTGACTTTTTAATGTTTTATCTAAAGAATATTTTGTACAATTATTATCCAATTATTAGTTAATTAGTTAATTATATGTTAATAGTTAAAGTATTTATTGTTATTTAATGTTCTGTTTTCTGTCTTCTTTTTCTATAATGATGCTGAAAATAGGTATATTATGTGGTGATGAATTTTTCTGTTTCTCTCTTAAACAAAATGACAATTGTGGAATGAATATGTAGATTTTTAAAACTAAAATAGCCTAAAAAAAATTATAATAATTCTGTGATTTTTTGCACCTAAATTGCTTATAGGCCAACTCAAGATAACAATAAATGCAGAGAATGTTTTTTTTTTTCCAGTGGGGATTCTAATGGTATGTTATGTATGTATGTATGAATGGTATGGTAAGGTAACACTGGTGTATGGCAGCATTTCATGGCAGCTGGAGCTAAAACACATTTATTGATGCAACTGATGCTTGACCAGACATTCACATGGGTGTGAACTTGAGTTAATCATTGGGGTGGCAAGAAAAATGAAAAGTGAACGAAAAGAAAAACACTTCTGTAATCATATTGTGTATATTAAAAGCCGTCGTTGTTGGGCTGCACTTGGCGCTTGTCATTAAGGCAGCCTTATTTATCCAGGCTGTGTGCTGTTCACCTTCACTCTAATAAACAGCACTGTTATACTTTCGCTTTGTCTACCTCATTATTCTCTATCTTGGCTGCAGTTGGGACTTTACATTTCAACAGACTTCATTAATGCTGTAACAGAGTGAATCAAAACTTCAAGCAGCCAGATTATCAGAAAAATCAAGAGATTAATAAGATAATGTGCTCACTTTGCACTACTGTGGTGTCCTAATATTATGAGCAGATCACATACCAGGAAAATGGGGTAAGTAATCGTTATTACAAATGATACTGTCATGATCAAGTGTGTTAGAAAAATCTTCTTTAAATAATCAGCCTGACACCACCGATGTCTTTGAAGCTTTTATTCTTGCAGCAAGGGAGCAGTTACATACAGAGTCAAGTCTAGAGTGTAATGCTCAAAGTGCTTTGGGTCATGCCCTGTCTTATATCTTTGGAAATGTACGTTTTACTCTTACTTCAACTGAACTATTCTTTAACTTCTTGTTTATCTATTTCCCGATACATCCCTTTTCTTCGAGTTTACCCAAAGGTCGAGTTCTCCTTTCTGTGTACTGTTGTTTTCACTTCTTACTGATAGGAGAGCCCTTCATCTGACCCCAGAGTGTACGCAGTGCACTCTGTCTGAACTCTTCTGCCTACAGAGTTCTTGACTTAAGCATAACCATATATGGTGATTCAAGCATTAACATAGAGTATAATACTGATTTTTTCTGACAAAGTGAAAATAAAATTTTAGTTTAAAACACAATAAAAATACTAAATTAAGTGAACAAAACCGCATGCTGTACTGGTGTTTTTGCCAGCTGTGAAGATCAGCATTGCAGACTACGGCCTACTGAGCAGCACAAACTGTGCTTAAATTCCATCAGAAGCTGAAACTAGCCCAAAATGTGTGTCCCAACACAAACATATGAAACAGTGTATAAATATTTAAGAATTTCTGCACATCTTACAAATCCCATTATTCTTTATCATATCAATCATATCAACTCCCATTACTCTTCAATACTCTTATTATTGTCCTAGACTGTGAAAAATTAAAAGTTGCAGTTTCTAAATTTGCCAGTACTTTTTTGAGTATGTTTTAAAAACATTAGTCTCTTTTGCATCTACTACGATAAAGTTGATTATGTAATATTAGTCTAGTAGTTTTGAACATTTATTTTCTTTAAAGTTGGAATTACCAATAATCAGGGACCCTAATATAGAGATTGTTGTATTAAATGTAACATTTGATTAGGTTTATCACAGCTAATGGAATTACCTACCATTTTATATTCTTTAATTGAACAGCTAAGCTTATATACCTTATTAAGTTCTACATGTTCCATGATGTTACCATTTCTCTCTTAAATATCAAATACCAAATCCCTCTATCCCAATTTTGTAAAAATTTAGACTCTGTTTTTATTAAAATGCACCTATTATTCCAAATTGAGACATTATATTTGTAAGCCAAAGTGAAATGTAAGAGAGCCTGCTGGTGAAAGGCAGATCATTTCACAGGGAGCTTGGACACTTCATAATCACACTTCAGTAGAAATTGTATACCACCTTTAACTTTAAACGTAGTTAAAGGAATTTTATACTAAAAGCTTAGGCTGTTGGAAAGGAGACCCTGTATCCATTTTAGTTTAGGGAACCATTCATAGTATCAACATCTATAAAATTTAAGCCTCCATCCTTAAATGTTCTCAGGATAGTTTTCTTAGGTAATGACATCTATTCTTTCAAATAAAACTGCAGTTTAAGTTTTTAACATTTTCAATACTTTTGTGTGCTAAAGGTAAAGAATAAGCAGAGCATATTCATCTAGACAAACTTTCTGTTTTCATAAATAATATCTCTCTGAAGCCACTGTGCTTTCAAACTAGCCCAATTCAACAGGAAAACTTGAGGCAAGCGCATGATCTAATGGCCACCCTCATAGGTTGAGCTTGGTGTTGAGCAGGAATTGCACTGCTCCCTCTACTGGGCAGAGCTTAAACAGCATGATAGTACTGAATGTTGAATGATTGAAAAGAAAAGTGTCAAATTAACACAATGCCTCAGCTTTTTATTTATGATTATTTTCCTAAAATACTGGCTGCTGTAGTTATGTTATTGCAGTATATGAGTTGGATTCTGCTGCTCTGTTGTGTATTTATGCATAGTTTACTGTATGAGTAGTATAAGGCAAACATATTTAAATGGAATATATAGTCTCAGCATTTGTTCGTATCAGTGTTTAAAATGAAATATGTCCACTTTAGAACAAGGATTACCGTGTACACCAGGGGTGCCCAATCCTGGATCTGGAGATCTACAATCCTGGAGAGTTCACCTGGTGTGTTAGATTAGGGTTGGAGCTAAACCCTGCAGGGTGGTTGATCTCCAAGACCAGGACTGAGTAGCCCTGGGGTACACAGTTAGTAGTGTGTCATTGTTATTTTATATTTTTACTGTTATTAATGATTTTATTGGTGATAATAATAATAATTCAGGTTGGTAAAATATTGCTAGCAAATTTAGCAAAAGTAGTATTTGCTTTATATAACATTTTCTGCCTATATTGACCAGATGGGATATGTGAGCAGAGCTGGAAGAACTGAGAGCCAGTATCAGCCAAAGAAAAACTCTTGAGCTTGTGAACTGCATAGCTGTGGCCAACAACAGCTGGTAAATAATGCAGCCTGACTTGTGTGAAAGCTGTGACTCTTTAATAGTTGTAAACACTACAGTATGTAACATTTTCTGCTTATATCAGCTTGATACTGATACCCATCAATACTAATATGCTGTCTTTCATATTTTATATCATATTTTATAAAACCAGGTAAATACAGTATGACAAGTTACCAAATTCTCATGATATTTAATGTAAATCATCATATCAATATTCCAATATAAAAACACAAAACAATGTTAAAACCGTCCAAAAAAGTTGGGACGTTGTGCAAAGTGTAGATAAAAACAGAATGCAACAATGTGCAAATCATGTAAAGCCTATATTTGATTGAAAATAGAACAACAAAAGACAACATATCAAATGTTGAAACCGAGAAACTTCATTGTTTTTCATTTTGAATTTGACGCTAGCAACACGTTCCAAAAAAGTTGCGATGGGGGCAACAAAAGACTGGTAAAGTGATGTAATGCTAAAAAAAACCTGGTGGTTAATTGACATCAGGTCAGTAACATGACTGGGTATAAAAAGAGCATCCCAGTGGTCAGTCATTGTAGAACAGACTTTCCAGAATTGCAGTGACTAACAAACTTTATCTTTATTCTTTGCTTTCTTGCTTATTTCTTGATAATTTAAAGCTGCACTATGTAATATTTGGGGATTTGGATCTCTCTGTTAAGGAAATTGTCACGCTTCTGTGTTCTTCTCCCTTGCCTAGCATGCTCCAGGACTCCATTTCCCATGATTCCAATCCCAATGATGTCACCCTTTCCTCTAATCACGTGCATCTGCCTCGTTCTCAGTCACCCGAATTCTAATGCGATTCACCTGTGTCTGTTTGTCTCAGACTGTAAATAGTCTTTGGTTTATTCTCCTCATTGCGAGGTATTGCCCTTCAGTGGACTACTGAGCGTTATTCTACTGTTTTCTCAACATGTGTTTTGAAGCCTTTGCCTGTTTTTTGGATATTGCTTTTTGTATTTGCCCTTTTGCTCTGGTTGCCTGTATGTTTTGTCTACTCTGGTTTTATCTATGCAATTCACCTTCATTGTACATCATTTTCAGCAGTCAACCCCCTAAACTCCCAGGCTTATTACACAATAAGGCTTACTATTCAGTAACTATAGGGACTTTACTGTAAAAGTGGTTGAGCTACTGTTACACTGTAAAAATGTATGCAGCTTTAAACTTAAAAAAAGTAACCAGGTCAACCTAAAACATTGAGTTCATCGAACTTGTAGCATTAAGTTAACAGAGGAATAATTTGTGAACTTCATTTCAAGTTAACCCAGTTACATACTTTTTGAAGTTTAAAATCTGCGTACTTTTTTACAGTGTAGGTAATAGAAATGTGTAATAAAGCTCTGGGCTTGCTGGGGGTTCCCTGGCCATTTAAGGGGTTAATTTTCACAGTATTCATTATAAAATCCTGAATTCAAGCAAATCTGCCCTTAATTATGTGAGATTAGATTGTAAATAAATGTGTAAAAATTAAAGCAAAATTAAAATTTTCAGTGGTTAAATCAGGGCTCAGGGGAAAAAGATTTTACCCTAATTGTCCATAAAAGAAATAAATAAAAAAAACAACACAAACAGGTAATGGTGTTCTTTATTTAATCGTAACCCTACAAGATATATGTGCTGTTGAGAAAAACATAAAGATTCATCATCACATAACACTCATTCACACAATCTCCATCACTTTAGAGGTCGTCCAATTATTTAAGGATCTTTTGTAGAATCCAGACAATTAAGAAAAACTGAACATTATACAGATTCATTTGAATTGTATATTATGTAGTAATTAAACTGAATTTCTAAGTGTCTGTAGCTGTATTAGCTTTCTGCAGATTTGACATGAAGATGTAATTGTATGTAATAAACACTTCATAACAGCTGTTTAGGTCAGACAGCAGAGCTACTTCTGCACTCCAGCTGGATTCTTGATCACTTTAATATGAAGCTCCAACATTAATTCAATGTTTCACTAAAGACTTTTTTCCCATGAAGTAGCTCCTCCTAGTGGTCTAATCCTGTTAGAAACAATAAAGAGTGATTTTCATTATGAACACTGTTCATCACAGACTGCTGTCATGTAAATAAATCACTAGTCATGTGACTGAACAACAATGTTGAATAATCTGTCAAAAAACTTCAAAATTCAAATTCAGAGAGCTGTTTAAGCTCAAACTGACCTGACAGATGAAAGGGAGCTCCTCCCTGCAACAAAAATCCAGCCACTGGGTCCCATTGCCACCTAGTTTGCCACAGTAGTGATTGATGGGGTCCACTGGAAAGCTAGAATGCCATTCAGAATAGTTCAGGTTGGGTCCACCAGTCCACAGCCACGTTAAGCGCATGTTCCTCTCAAGCCCAATCCATACACCATTTGGATAGAACTTATTCTGCAGCATCTGTGTGACGTATTCCTGCACTGTAGAGTTTATGATGTGCACTAAAGTCTTGTGATGATTGCGGCAGTATTTCCGTGCTTCAATCCAGTTTTTTTGATCAGGAATGTAGGTCAGGTTATCTGACAGGAGAAATAAGAAACCAATTTTGATATTTTATATAGGTGCAAATGAACCTTCTTACATATTCTTTAATATCACAATGTGATTTCATTTTTATTAAAAAGTAGAAATCATTAGGATTTCTGTAGTAAAAACTGTTTGATGTGGACATGAATGTTATTTAAAAGGCTTTTCATTGGTAATTAAATAAAGAGGCTAAAATCAGACTATTTAAAACATTGAAAAGCAGAACAAATGGAGCCCTAGTAATCTCACTGACTACTGTGAGACCCTCAAAATAGACGTTCCACAAGTGAAATACTGCAGAACATCAACAAAAGAAACTAAGTGATGTAATTACACTTCATATTTTAATGTAAATGTATACTTTCTTGACAAATTCAATTATGTGTCACAAAACATTCCTTGAGTAATAGAAAAAGGTCTAAAAACAGATTTGAATTTAGTAGAAATAAAATACATTTAAATCACTTTCTTTAGTTCATTTGACAATATATTTTAAGTTTTAAAGCTCAGTGTTATTATTGTATCATGGTTTATTCAGATCACAATCCTGATAATTAAATAGTGCAGAAAGAGTCTGATTTTTCTTCAGTACTTCAGCACTGACTCACATGAAGGTGTGTTAGAGAGAGTAGTTCCACTGAAGGCTGTACTGGTGGGTTTTATAGCCGTGGTGAACCTGGCAGCTGGTGAACCGGTGGGCGGTTGGACACTCCACCTGCTGGAACTGGTGGACTGTGTGGTAAAGCTGGGAGTCACTGTGGAAACACAGATTAAAGACACAGTTCTTGAGTAATTTCAATCATTTCTGTAAAATTGAAAGGTTAAACTATGGAGTTACAAAAAACAGAGCTTCTCAGTGTTTGTGCTGAGATGTAAATCTGAGTTATGGCATAATTTGAACAGGTTACCAGGCCAGTCTGACAAAAAAGAGAATTATTCTACACTAAACAGACTGTGTTATAATTCACACACCACTGTCTACTTTAGTCAATAAAAGTCTGAGTATAACAGTTTAATTTCTCAAAGTACATCCATAAATTTGATTTCTTTGCTGAAAGTGTTTGAGTAAAGCAGCTACTATTTGTAGAACTGCCAAAAAAGGCTCCATGACATCTCTTTGTAAAGTTATTATTGCATATTGATGTCAAATAATGACATTTCTTTTTGTAAAACATGATTTATGGCTCTGTTTGACAAGCCCTGATGTAAACATTGAGGCTAGTAAAGACCTGAAGTAAAACATGACTTGTACAGAGTACAAGATGTGCTGATTTTGTGTAATTTTTTAAATTTAAAGCACCACATTTGAAGAAGTCAAGTACAGATTGTCATTTCCAGTTTGTTTTGTCACATGTATGCAGTAGTACATATCTACTAAAACTTCATTTCCCAGTGGATTATGTCACTGTTGTATTCTTTCTTCTCTCTCTGCTCTGCTCTTCACAGGGCTGAGTTCTCTTGTGTAATAATAATCCTTTTGTATCAGACCAGTTTACAGAAACATAGAGTCTGTGTGGTTTCAGTGCATCAACAGAAATTACAATGACATCTCATTACAGGATGTATTAAGTTCATCAGGTACTTCTATTAGGCAGAGGATATAGTTTACACTGTGACTAATTTCATGACTGACCAGACTTTACAGAAGTGAACATCTGTGAATTATTACTGAAGCTCTCTAGATTAGATCTTGTATTACCCTCAATACACAAAATGTCTTTGTCTGTTAGCTGCTACAGTTCTCACTAAATCTAGAAAGCTGGATTATTCTAGCTCTGTCTAATCTACACACTGAAGACAAAAACTCTAATTGTGACACCTGGGAAATTATAGGTGTCCAGTCTGCCTGTGTGGACATATTAAATGTCTAAGTAATCAGATGGCTAACAATTTCATAATTAGACTTTTACAAACAGATGATGTTTAGACTTTTCATCCTGTTCACCACAAGTGCCAATGTGTTTTCTGGCTAAAATAAAGTCTCAGAACATTTGAAGCAGGTGAGTCTGAATTGGTTTCATGATAAAGAAGAACATTATCAGCCCAATCTAAAAGGAAAACATATTTAAGATGCAGTCATGGACCAGAGAAAAATGTACAATAAGAACTTATTACTACATTTTTATTTTATTTTATTTTACATTTTTCACTTATTACTAAATGATACATCATTTGAATCACTGATTGAGATTATATGTTAATGTGAGAGGTTGTTATAAAAATGTGGCCTAAAATCACTTTATAAGAGTTTAAACTCACTCTCAGCTGTTCCACTTGTGTTGAACCTCTTAAATATATAAAACTATATTGTTAACAATTAAACGTTCCATTCAAAGTGTTCTGTATATTTTATTAAATCCAAATCATTTGAAAATCTTAATAAGCTGTGAATGTCTGGAGTTCTATTAGTTATCATCAACATGAGGAGTTTGTAGGAGATTTTTTCAGACAGTGACGGTTATTTTTTGAAAGCTACATTTGTTTAGGAGTTTAATGAATCTGATTCATATAAAACATTGATAATTCAGTAAATGAATTTATTATATTAATTAAGTAAAATCAACTAAAGTAACTTTATAAGTGAGGCCCTTTAACATTAATAACTCTAGGTGGAAGGACAGATAGGAGTAAAAACAGAGCTTTGTGTTAAAATTGTGTTCTTGTCATACAAATGAGAAAAATGTAGTATTAAGTTCATGTTCTATCATGAGTAAAATGAATAAATAAACAGGGGGTGATAAAATGTTTGTAATTTTGCATTATGTACAGTTGTATTTGAACATTTATTTGATGGTATCTTTTTGAAAAGATATTGAGCCTAATACAAGTTTTTGCTTAAATGGGAGTTTTTTTTTCACTGTTCTGAGTTCAGTTCTGGTGTTTCCGGTGAAAGGGGGCGGGGGAGCTAAAAAGTTTGCAGGAGAGAGACTGTGTTTTTTTGGGGGGAGAAGAGAGAAGGTGGGCAGAGGGGAGAACTAAACTTGGGAGATGAAAAGCCTGTGAATTTAAGTCAAAGTCCCCTAACTACAAAAACTGATTTCTAGTTCAAGTGAAAGACTAACTAATAATTCAAATACCAGTTCAAAGGAAATGAAAATTGTGTTTCACACATATATAAATTGTGGTTTTATTGTCCCAGCAAATTTTCATGTATTTATGCAGTTCATGGAAGGTTATAAGTGCATATCCAACACCTGTATTAGGAGGTAATGCTCGTGTAGGGTGCAGGTGTTAAACATAATCGCCCTAATCACTATAAGCAGTTTCGCAGCGTGCAGTGTATTCTAGTATCCCGTTTTGGAAACTTGGAGTGTGATTGGATGCTATGAGAGGAAGTAGAATACAAGTAAAGTATCTGTGCATGGGAGATTTGAGTAGCTTTAAGTGACTAGCTACATTTCTGAACCTCCAGGGAGATATCACCCTAGCAAATAAGCCAGTTACATTTCTATATTTGTAGGACCCACCCTGTACCTCCCATGCTACTAGTTCAGGGTTAAATGTTAAACACCTTTAGGCCCTTGTTGTTCAGTTAAGTACCTGGTGGGGGCGCTACATAAGTAATATAATTACACTTTGTATTTTAATGTAAATGTATGTCAATGTATTCAGTCGTGTGTCACAAAACATTCCTTAGGTAATAGAAAAAAAAAATCTAAAAACAGATTTGAATTTAATGCAAATAAATATATTAGAGAAACTTTCTTTAGTTAATGTGACAATAAATATTACATTTTAAAGCTCAGTCTTATTACTGTATCACATCATATTCACATCACAATTCTGATTATTAAATAGTGCAGAAAGAGTGATTTATCTTTCAGTACTTCAGCAGTGACCCACATGAAGGTGTGTTAGAGAGAGTAGTTCCACTGGTGGCCGAACTGGTGGGTGGTGTAACTGTAGTGGTCTCACTGGAATTGGTGGACTCTGTAGTAAAGGTGGGAGTCACTGTGGAAACAGGATTAACAACGCTGTTCTTGAGTAATTTCAATTATTTCTGTGCAGTTAAAAGGTTAAACTAGACTGAAATATGAACTATTTAAACTGTGAGCTCACCTGTGTAGCAGAAGAACATGTACTTATGTGAACAGTCTTCAGGAGTCCATTTTTTATCTCCAGACAGTTTAATGCAGTTCTTCATGGGGGAGGAATCATTAGTAGCCCAGTTCTGAAACGGTTCCTCACTAGACCACTTCCACACATCATTATCTCTCTTCAGTCCAATCCAGATGTTTGTGTTATTAGGAGCAATTTTATTAAACTCTTGTTGATCTTGTTTATTGGTGATACTTGCTAGTTCACCATTTTCACTTTTACAGGAAGTACGAGCATTTTCCCATGTGGCACTCACTGACTTATATTCATACGTCTTAATCAGTATCCCACTTGTGTTTGTCACTGTAAAAAAATAGACTCATTCAGTACAACTGAAATCTACATTTCCTTTTTAGGCTTTTTTAGGGTATTAATGTTGTGAAGGAATGTTCATATATTGTGTTATTTCAGCATTAATAAACTAAATATTATCTTAATTAAATGCTCATTATTAATCATTCTCTTTATCTCAGTTTAAAACAGAATTAAGTTAATTATGATTTTACCTTTCTGACACATATATGTATAGTAGCCTGCACAAGTTACTGTCTGCCATCTTCCTGAGTATGAGTAAGCACAATCATATCCAGATGTTGTGCCCCAGCCAGAATTCCAGTTAAAGTACATGAAGTCCTCTCCATTTGACCACTTCCACTCCCGATCTCTGTGAAGTCCAATCCACATTTCACTTGTTGAAGACTCTACAGCTGCTAGTACTTGTTTCCAGTCTCCCTGATTATAGATAACAGCCAGATCTGTGTAGTTTTGCTCACAGTGACTCTTAGCATCTGTCCAATTCTTCATCTCATTCACAAGATAGTAGGTCTTGTCTGAATATGAATCTGTTGAAGAATAGAAGAACCCAGATGTTACAGCCAAAACACAGAATATACAGAGATGAGTGGAGTTACATAAAACAGTGCTTCTCAGTGTTTGTGCTGAGATCTAAATCTGGTTTGTGACAATTTGTGATAATTTGAACAGGTCACCAGGCCAGTCTGAAAAACAGAATTATTCCAAACTAAACAGACTGTGTTATAATTTACACACCACTGCCTCCTTCAGTAAATAAGAGTTTGAGTATAACGGTTTGATTTCTCAAAGTACATCCATAAATTTGATTTCTTTTATACATGCTGAAAGTGTTTTGAATAAAGCAGCAACCATTTGTAGAACTGCCAAAAAAGGCTCAATCACATCTCTTTTTAAAGTTATTATTGCATATTGATGTCAAATAATGACATTTTGTTTTGTAAAACATGATTTATGGCTCTGTTTGACAAGCCCTGATGTAAACATTGAGGCTAGTAAAGACCTGAAGTAAAACATGACTTGTACAGAGAACAAGATGTGCTGATTTTGTGTAATTTTTTAAATTTAAAGCACCACATTTGAAGAAGTCAAGTACAGATTGTCATTTCCAGTTTGTTTTGTCACATGTATGCAGTAGTACATATCTACTAAAACTTCATTTCCCAGTGGATTATGTCACTGTTGTATTCTTTCTTCTCTCTCTGCTCTGCTCTTCACAGGGCTGAGTTCTCTTGTGTAATAATAATCCTTTTGTATCAGACCAGTTTACAGAAACATAGAGTCTGTGTGGTTTCAGTGCATCAACAGAAATTACAATGACATCTCATTACAGGATGTATTAAGTTCATCAGGTACTTCTATTAGGCAGAGGATATAGTTTACACTGTGACTAATTTCATGACTGACCAGACTTTACAGAAGTGAACATCTGTGAATTATTACTGAAGCTCTCTAGATTAGATCTTGTATTACCCTCAATACACAAAATGTCTTTGTCTGTTAGCTGCTACAGTTCTCACTAAATCTAGAAAGCTGGATTATTCTAGCTCTGTCTAATCTACACACTGAAGACTTGTTATATACTGCTAAAAGCTCTGAAAACAACTCTGTCACACCTGAGAAATTATAGGTGTCCATGATGGCATGTAAAGACGGACATGCAGACTTTTATTTAAAAAAAAAAAAGACTGTACAAAGAGCCAAACACATAAACGTGAAGTCTGTATTTTCCCAATTATTGTAATTTCACAATTAAATACACATTGACATGTACAAATCTGCCCAAAATAAACAGTTAACTTCTGGTTTTAAGAACAGATGATGTTTAGACTTTTAGTCCTGCTTCCTACTTCAGTGCTCATTTCTTTTTCTGGCTAAAGTAAAGTCTCAGAACATTTGAAGCAGGTGGCTCTGAATCGGTTTCAAGATAAAGAAGAATATACTTTTACTGATTTTAAGACAATGTAATGAACCAGAGAAATATGTACAATAAGAATTTATGCATCATTTGAATCACTGATTGAGATTATATGTTAATGTGAGAGGTTGATATAAAAATGTGGCCTAAATTCACTTTATAAGAGTTTAAAGTCACTCTCAGCTGTTCCATTTGTGTTGAACCTCTTAAATATATAAAACTATATTGTTAACAATTAAATGTTCCATTCAATTCTATTATTTATCATCAACATGAAGAGTCTGTAGCAGATTTTTTTTCAGGCTGTGTTGGTTATTTTCTTAAAGCTACATCTATTTAAGATTTTGACTAATCTGATTCCTATAAAATATTAATAGATAATTCTGTATAGGATTGTATTATATTAATTTATAGTTACTTTATTGCACCATTTATCTGCCTACTAACAAATAAAATCAGAAACTCAGTAAGATTAGAAAGAAGGATATTCAATTATAAGAAGATGATTGAAGTTCATAACATATTTGTTTTTAGCCTGAGTGCTACACATTTATTTATTTATTTATTTATTTATTTATTTATTTAACACCTCACTGTACATGAAGCATCCGTAGCATGTTCATAAAAAACTTTAAATAACACTTCAGTAGTTACATAATCATTTAGAAACATTTATTAAACATCTTTGTTAGTGAGTAATGAGTGTTTAGTATAATGAATTGAAAACACTCAGTGATGATTACTTTAAACTTCAAGAAATGTTCATAAATTCATCAAAATAAATATTCATTTTCAGAGCAAAAATACGAGTCTAAGCACGTAGTATTCACAAGACCTCCATATTGTGTTCATTATTGCTTTATTAATGCTGTTTGAAAAGCCTTCATGACACAAAAATGGTGTAAATTAATAACATTTTATACGTTACACATTACTGGAACCTGCATTAATTTCATAAAGATTTCACTTATATTTCATGACAAGATCATTTTTAACACTTTATGCTAATGAATATAATTCGATTATTTATTGAATATGCATAATGTGTATGTAGTTTCTTAGGATTTTTATTCCCTGAATAGATTTGAATAAATTTATGATCATTCCATTGTTTAAACTAAACATAATCAATGAATGTTTCAAAATAATGATCTAACTGTAATAGTGTTACTGTACTGTTCATGAATATGACACAAATGTTTCATGTAGTATGTAGTGACTGTAATGTGTTAGTCTTTATTTAGGTGAACATCACTAATCCTGTGTTTATTTTACAGCCTTTTAATATCATATAAAAGAAAGGTAAATCCATCTGTTGTGGAGCTGGAATTATTTAATAAACAATTTGGCAGCACAAAGCCAAGATCTAAACTGTAGAGTAAACACTACAAATCTGTGCATGAATAGCTTTACACAGTAACATGAATAACACAGCAGATAATTAAACAATTAATGTGGTGAGCTTTTCACTATTTCCTGATAGTGTGAGTTCAATCCACGTGTGACACTACAATAAAGAAAAGTTTGAAATTTTTATTGCTAAAAGAGAGAGGTACAATAACATCTGTTACAGAATAAACATGAAGGATCAGAAAAAATGAAGCTCATTAAAGCAATAAAATGCTAATTTACCTGGAAGCTGGGTCACGATGGAGGGATCTGCAGCTGTTGAACAGAGGCCCAAAATCAGTGCATGAAACACATGGGATCATATCTGGCAATTTTTTTGCCATATACAAAACTTCGTACCTACAGAACATTTTTCTCGTTGATTAGACTTTAGTCCAAATTCAATTTATAAAATAATGCTCAGAAAAGTTCAGCTCTTTGAATCCACACTGTAAAAAAAGATTTGACCATAAATAAATCTGTAAAATAAATTTTCTATATTTTTTGTGATAAGCAAATATACCTGTAAAATACAGGAAAATCACCTTTTTCAATAAATCTGCTGTAAAAATACAGTCTGTTATTTTAAATTATAAGAATCCATGGTTTTTTAACATGGTTGTACCATTTTTTTAAGAGTTTTGAGTGTTAAATTAGTAGTTATCATTGTAAAAACGCAGTTATCTCTGTAAAAATACAGACCAATAAAGTTGTCTGCTCTGTGTGCATTTAATTAAAAATACAGAACATTGTTTTTTTACGTTTGCTGTAATTACAAGCAATAAACACATTATAAAACTTGAATGAAAGTTAATTTAAATGAAAATTAATTTATATATAAAATTACTTTCAATACAGGTAATAATAATATAACAACTCCATTGTCTGTTGTAACATAACAGTAATTTGTTGTTTTAAAACAGTAAATGTATGGTAAATTAATTTAAACTTCCATATTATCAACTGGCATACAGCATCAGACCAGATATTTTGACTGATGATGAGGTTTAAATAATTCAAATAATTGTCAATCCATTGAGTAATTCATAACACTTCTCTTTAAAATAGACAGAAAATTACAATATCAGCTCAAATGTATATTGTTGTCTTATATTTGGTAGAATTAATGTTTTGAAACAACAAAAAATAAGTTTAGTATACAGTTGTGTGTGTTCATTTGACAAAATCGTGGTTAGGGTCTGTTCAGCCAATAAATGAATGAGCCTAATGAACTGGGCTCGTTTGAAAATGGCAGTAGCGGCTAAAACGACTAGTTACAGACAGTGGAACAGACAGTAGAAAAAAACAGTAGAAAATGAACGGCCTTATTAGCGTATAAACAAATCGTCGTAGGAGTGTTTGAACAGATTCATTTGAAAACAAAGCCGTGAGTGAAATTTTGAAAGCCGGGGGTGCAGAGTTTTGGTGTGTTCGGGCCCTTTGAGAATGAACCACGGCCGAGGAATCGCTGTATGAGTGATTTGAATAGCTGTATACTTGAGGACACACAGGCAGGTACAGTAATAGAGAGAGAGTGAGAGTGAGTTATTCATGACGGAGAACTGGCGCAAGAAGTAGAGAGAGAGAGAGAGAGAGAGAGAGAGAGAGAGAGAGAGAGAGATATGCAGTAAAGGTTAGCTATAAAAGTAAATGCAAACAAAAACTAAGGAGAAACCTGAAAGTTTACTGATGTCTATCAGCAGTATTTAGACAAGTTACAATGTTCAGTGTTTAGTGAAATAATGTCTGCAGTAAAGTACCTTAAATGAAGTACTGTGCAAAAGTCCCAGGCAGCCTAGAAAATTGTTTAAAACGATTCATTTTGGAAATAAAAGTGTTTTTGCTGGTTATTAATATGCTGGTTAGAAGAATACAGTTAGAGGAACACAGTTCTGGTTCCTGATTTCTGCAGTTCAGAATGGATTTGTTAAAGTCCAGCACTTCTGTTTTGATTTAATGAAGGATTGATTAGATAAGCTAGTGCTGAATCTCTGATGGCTGCCTCCTGTCTGTATAGTGCACTATGTGAATTACGGAGTTTTGGCTTCTTTTGCTCTGAATGTCTTGTAGTGAATTGTGAGCAGGTGGTTGAATCACCAGTATCTCTCTGTTAGACACAGTATGCAGTGTTTGAGTGCAGGAGCTATAAGTTAAGGCCTATGTTGTACATTATGTAAGGGAGTAGGGAGCCATGTGAGATTCAGCCTATTCATTGGATGGTATTAAATGGTTAAAAATAACATTTTCTTTATTGTGTGTTTGTATTTAATGTTTTTTTTTTAATAATACCATTTACTGCCCAGATCAGTAGATTTACATATTATACATATCATTGAAAATTTTGCATAGTATTGCATATATACAATTTACAATTATTTTGCAGTTCAATACTTTAAATTTTGAGCTAGTTTCAGCTTCTAGTGGGAAGGTTTTAAGTACACTTTGGGCTGGAGAGTTTTACTGGACCTGGCAACCCTGGTTAATCCCTTTAACAAGTTTAGGTACAATAGTCTTAAAAATGTAATGTGATGGTGCATCTGTTAAGTTCAGTTTAGGCAAACAATGTCAAATGTTACTTAATTTGTAGTGGTCACTATTATATTACTGAGCTTATTTAATGTACTAACCTGGCAGTAACAGGTGAAAGATGTTAGCTCTTGACAGAAGTACAAAGAGCTACATGTGATTATTGTTATCAACCTGACTATGGTAGAAATGAAAACTCAATGAAAATGTTTGGGAACTCTACTTAAACAGCAATTACAATTTTAACTTTTGTTTTGTTTCCTGTGCTTTTTTTTCACTTCTGCCCTGTCAGAAAACCTCTGTTCAGTGCTGCATCAGGGACACATTTTGCTGTGTTCCCACGTGTCTTTAGAAGATTCCACATGACCAAGGTATGTTTTTTGGTTATGTTCACGTAACATTAGAAAATGAAGTAATGATGCAGTATGAAGGCTGAAATGTTACTATTAGTGCTACAGCTAGGCCTGGCAGATTAATCACTTTTACATTTAAATAGAAAATATATATTAACACGGTTTAAATGAGGAAATTTCAACAAAACATACAGAGCTTGTGAACTGCCTGTAGATGAGTTTGACCAACACATGTGCTGTATACATGAAAACCACTAAATTGCTCACAAAGTGTTCAAGCGCCTCAAGCCAGAAAAATTGGATATTCTGGTTGTCTTGGCCAATAAAATAATTAGTTTATATTAATTTATAGACGATAACTGCATTTAAATCAATGTTGCAATATTGGTCAGAAAAATTGCAATTAGATATTTTCCCCAAATCGTTCAGCCTTCGCTACAGCTTGCACATACTATGATTCAAGATCACTTTTTTTTTTTTTGAAATTTGTCAAGAAGACTATGTCATCAAATTGCTACTTATTATGCCTGACTATCAGACAACAAAGTCTTAAAAGTTAGAGTTACAGTGACATAGAGCAGAGAAAAGTGACAAAAGTCATAACTTCCAGTTGATCAGCTAATTCAGATATTAATTATGATACAATTACAGCTGATAATAGTAACAACAACAGTTATCATGATTTCAGATTTTTTGCATTTTACATTGCAGTGGTACACTGTAAAAAATCCAACTCGCTAAATGTAAATGTAAAAAATACAGTTGGCCCAACCTTCTCATGATGATTTAACTGACTCAACAACCTATACTATATGGCCGCCTCATAGCACACACGCTGCATCAACTGACAATTTCAAGTTGATATAACGGTTTTACATGGGTTCTAGTAGAGATGAAACGATATTAAAATTTCATATCACGATTATCATGACCAAAATTATCACGATTATCAGTATTATCGCGATATTGTTCAAAAGTAAAATAAATAAAGAAATAAATACTGATACACAAACTGAAACTCGTTTCACCAACTTTTATATTAACACAAATAGAATTGGCAGCAATATGCACTTTTTGTTTGCATAAACATTAAAAAAATGAGGTCAATACATTTTTAGTATTACTTTTGTATTACTTACAATACTTGTAATACTCTGTAAACAAAAGAATAGCAAATGTATTATTATTACAGTTATTATTATTATTATTATTATTATTATTACTGTTGTTATTCTTTTTCTTCTTCTTCTTCTTCTTCTTATTATTATTATTATTATTATTATTATTATTATTATTAATTACAATAACTAGGGATTTCCCTGCATAGAGAATTAAATCTGGACCAACTCTGAGGCGGGTCTTAATGGAAAATTACTACTTCTAAGAAGTGCTGCACTCGGGGGATTTCTGTCCTAACTACATTTGCAGCATTATTGTGCCGTTGTGGCGCTGAACCCCTAATCAATACAGTGCACCAGGAAAAACAGCCAAAATCACAGAGGAATTGCGTGACCGCGCTGTGAGCTGCAGACAGTGTAGAACTCACAGTGTGTCTTCACCTGTGGAGCTGCTTCTCTAAAAGCGTTTAAAACTAAAACATAACTTAAAATTAACATGCATCTGAGCTGCGACAGAAACACTCCTGAAGTTTAATCTCTGAAACTCTGCTTTTCTTAAAAGCAGCACACAGTGTTTACTCGCGAGGTCCCGTCTCAAAGCACACTATCTTGCCTATGTAGTGCACTTCGTAGATCATGAAATAGCAAATCCTTCACCCAAAGAGTGCAGGAAACGTTCGACTAAGTCATCTATAATCAACATTAACAACAGGTTACAAATTCCCTATTTAAAACTCAACTGCTTGTTAATGATGATCGTGCTTGTTTGAACAGTAGCGCACTACGTAGGGGACACTGAGTGATTTGAGACGGTGTTATTCTCCTCTCAGACAGTAAACACTGCAAGCGAGACGAGAAAGGGGAGCTGTGCAGATTGAACCTCTGCAGCGTCTCGTTCCAGAGCTCGTGTGACTGTTAACTCAGAGCTCATTTTGGAGACTCTGCCCCACAGAAATTTGTTAAAAGCTTTAGTTTCGATTCACAGTTGATTCACCGATTGTTTTTCTTTTTTTTGACGCTAAAAGCTTCATTCTATATGATTAACGAACCATAAGCATAAGTTAAACCACACAAACCGTGACATTTCTTCTATTTCGAAGGACTTCTACATTAAAGTTAACCTTGCATTCTCTAAAAAGTAGCGGGTGGTGGTCGCGAGATGACTCGTAAGGTTTGATGTGTTGCCCCCTTTCCCCGCATTTTTCTTTCGGCCTGTTCTGCAGACAGGGTGGTCATCTTCAATTAACTCTCCTTCTGCATTCTTATAAAACCCAAAATA